ATGTCCAAGATGTTGGGAATCGGCTCTGCATCCAAGATCGGTTCCCTTTTCTGCCGCTTCTCTTCTGGGGGTTGTCTTGCAGGGAAGAAAGGGACGCAGGGGACAAAGAGACACAACCCACTCAGCGGGGGCTTCCTCACTTGGCGCCCACATGTTGCCTCCTTCTTTCTTCGCAGGCGCAGGAGCAACGCATCCTCTTCAAAACTCTGGAGGGGTTTCAGTCACGGACCCAGCCGGGGCATGCGGGTGCAAACTTCCATTTGCCGTTTGGGTATATGTGCAGATTGGGGCACCCCAAAGATTGTGTCTTCCTTTTGGTGTCTGCTTAAACCAACACGAAAAGGGTACCCTTAGAACAAACCCTTTTGCCCTTTTGGGGTTTCCTTCATTTTCCCTTTTGAGCAGCCAGGTGGAGTTGCGGGGGTCGGATCTACCACACGGTTTTTGCAAAGTACTTTGAGAGTCCCATGTGCTTTTCAAAGGGACCATGGACAGGCTGTTTGACCGATCACTTGTTGGCCGGGTTGAAAGGTTGGTTGTCCAGTGCCAGGTTTCCGACTTTGACCACTCTAACAGTCAAAGTACACATCAGGTTGGTTCCTTGAAGGAGCTGGCGCGAATCGACATTCGTTTGGCGTGCAATCATCAAGCGCGAATTGAGGTCTTGCAATGTGTGAGGAATGGAACCCTTCCGGTTGGAACTCGGACTTGGCAAATTGATGATGCCTCGAGATCCTATTGGAGATTGCTCCCTTCAAGTCCTTTGGGGCCCACAAAGCGCGGTGTTTGATCCGGCGGAGCTTCCAGAAGGGCTGTCTCAGGGCCCTGGTGCTGAACCAATCTCACAAAAGGTTGGGTGTCCATCCAGGTTTGGGTTCCCTCATGTACAAGCCCGCGGTGAGCGGAAAAGGAGGGTTTCTTTCTTTGGCTCGGTCTCGGATCTGAAGCCGCGGCTTCGTCCTTTTTTTTCGGCTCCGGACCTCCGGATCCCAAGAAACCGTGGGCCCCTTTTTTTGACGCCAACAGTGACCCGGAACTCCCAAGGACCCGTGGTTTCAACCGCCTTTGCCTAAAGGCATATCGGCCGTGTTCTCAAAAAGCGCTGGGGAGGATGTGAAGATGAGGATTCTGGGATGTCTCTCTGCGAACCTCGTGTCTGAAAGCGAGCCTCTGTTTGGTGGTTTCCCTTGAAACCACCCTTAAGACGCACTTTTAGGGGTCTAGACATTTAGAATTGGGTTGCGGGGCACCTGAAAACTCATTGACCAACTTGTGTGCAGTTCTTCCAGTCTTTAGCCTTGGAATTCCTCGGCTCGGATCCCGGGTTCCCAAACTCCCCGCCCGAATGAGCAGTTGCATGTGAGGGACCCCAACAAACCCGGTTTGAGGTGTTTCCCCGGAATGTTAATTTCTTAGTGTTAATATTATTATTATCATTATTATTATTATTATTATTATTATTATTATTATTATTATTATTATTATTATTATTATTATTATTATTATTATTATTATTTTATTGTTATTATTATTATTCTTATTATTATTATTATTACTATTATTATTATTATTATTACTATTACTATTATTATTATTATAATTATTATTATTATTGTTATTATTATTATCATTATTTTTTTATTATTATTCTTATTATTATCAGTATTATTATTATTATTATTATTATTATTATTATTATTATTATTATTATTATTATTATTATTATTATTATTATTATTATTATTATTATTATTATTATTATTATTATTATTATTATTATTATTAATTATTATTATTATTATTATTATTATTGTTATTACTATTATTATTATTCTTATTATTATTAATTATTATTATTATGATTATTATTATTATACCTACTGGTGTATGCGTGTATTATATATAATATATAGTATACATATATATATATAATGCCCACTTGGCGCAAAGAAACCCATGCTTTTTTCCGTTTTCAGGGGCCCCGTCTTTCTCGACTCGCGCCGGATTTGCCTCGGCTCGAGGCAGAACTCTCCGGTGGTGGACCTCGGGGTGACCCTCTTCACGGAACTCCTTGCGCCGCTTCGGCTGAAAACCGGCGGACATTGGTGTCCTTTTTGGTTGATTTGGTTTAAAAATAGAGGGCCCTGGTTGACCTGGTGGTTTAATCAACTACCAGGGCCATCTGTCTCAAAAAAGACACCTATGCCGGCGGGGAGCGGTGAAAACCCGGGGCGCCCAAGGATGGATGGATGTGGGTATGGCTCCAAATTAAACAGCTACCCGTACAGAGGTTTTAGTCTTTGGTTCCATTTGCCAAGGTGTCATTTTGGTACCCTTTTTTTAGCCACAGCTGCGTGTCTGAAACAAATGGGGGGGCCCTAAAATGGTTGGCTTCCTTTTGGCTTGTCTGTGTTTTGAGGGAAGTCCCAAAGAGGGCGGTGCTCAACTCTGGTTTCCCTTGACGACCTGAAAAGGAGACCCTCGAAAGGGCAGACCCACATTGGCGTGTGCTTTTTTTTGGTTGACACGTTGACACCCCTTTTTCACCTGGGTTGAAAGGGACCAAAGGTACCCCCCCCTCCCCGATGTTGGGGAGCTCGTGTGGGCCGTGGTCCCTTTGGACCCGCTTCGGGTGATGGCCACGGACCCCTTAGCGGTTTGGACGACGATTGTAATTCCTAGTAAAGAAATCCTTCACGGCCACATGGCCCACCCGAGAGCATGTCACATGTGGGCCAGTCACCCAAATACCAGCGGATTTGAGAGGATTCGATTCCTTGTGAAGAAGGTGATTTCTGGACATGTAGGGAACCCTGTTTGGGTCAGGTGCGGTCAGGTTTCCCAAATGATTGCCCAACACCGATTCCTACTGATCTGGTTTCTTGGAGCAAAAGCAAAGCCGAGTCTCAGCTGCATCACCTGCTCTGAGCTGACATAGGAAAAGGTGAGAAGACGCCCTTGGGCCTCTCACAGAAAAGACTCCTCTCACACCATGCCCCACAGAAGGAGTTTTGACCACGACTCAGATGGTGCAGGGACTCCAGCAAGGCCTGAATGTAGCTCACATATTGAACCCCTGATTGCTCAATTAAATAGCCATTGCAGTTTTCAGAAAGAACGGACACCAACCAAAGAGGGCCTACATGGCCATGGGCGTGTGAAAAGACTCGTCCGCCAAGAAAAAGAGCTCGCTCACCGATACAACTCGGTCGCCCACACGGCTTTGATAAATGATGGTACTTTCCCTAGTATCCCTGCCCAAACCACGCCAGTAGCTGTCCTTTCTGAGGAACCAGCCGGAACTCAAATCAGAAAAGATTGCGAAAGAGAATCCTTCCAGAAGAATCCGATGGATCTCACATCGAAGGTCTCATCAGCTTGTCCTCCTGCAGGGCGAGATCAAGTCTGATCTGCTTGCAAAGGACAGCCCGGGCGGTTGGTCTTCACTCGACGCCTAGTTTCAACTCACTGCCAGCGCCAATCCAAACGTGGCCGTGTCTTTGGGGGAGCCATATTTTGAGGGATTCCCACCATGCTACAGTTGAATTGCCCTTGAATTCCCTGGGTTCTGCCCATGTTTTTCCTCTTTATTCCCTTGGCCTTTTCTGCGGTTCGTTACCCCGTGCTTTCTGTGACTCCCCTTGGTCATGCTTCCCTGCCTACGCCTAGATTTCCCACAAGAACAAGAACTTCGCCTATACCCCCTTCCCCCCCCCCCCCCCCTTGTGTTCTCCCCTCCCCCCCATTTCTGCCAGGAAAACCCTTTTGCGCCGGGCTCCCCCCGAACCTTTTCCTCTGACCCCCCAATGAAGACTTTAGGACGAGGCTGCGCGGCTGGTGCGCTTCCTGAGGGAGGCCTATGCAGACCCCGCGCTCTTCAGCTGGGTGAAGCGCCCGAAGCCGAGAGGAGCTTGGGCTGTGGGCTCTGTCTGGGCCATATTCACCTGTCTGTCTTGGGCTTTGGCGCTTCATGGTTCCATCTGGTGCCCCCCCGGGCCTCTTTGGCCCGTCCCGTCGCCAGAAGAACAACGAAGCACCGAGCGAGGCTTCAACCACTCGGCGCGGGACTTCGACTGGGAAGAGTTCTTCTCGGAGGCGAGGCCTTTGGAGTCCGCGCCCGAGCTGCGCAGCTCGTGAGGTTTTCAGGTGGCCCTTGGCTTGCTGGGCGCCAAGATCTTTGGCAGGGTTCCTCTTTTCAGGGCTGCGCCTTCGAGGAATGATCGGAAACCGTATCAATCAAGGGGTCAGCATTGGAGGGGATGATTTGTGTCTTGAACAGATGTCAATGGCAAGCACTCTGCTTCCAGCACTTGAGCCTATCTCGAAGCCTGAGTTTTTTAGGCTCATAGTTGTTGCAAGAACAGGGCTTGGCAATTTTGATAGCAAGAGAATCCTTGGTACTTGTATCACAGAGAAGGGGCCCATTTTCCACATTCATGAGTAGGCTCGTTTTGGCCTGAGGCGATGGCAATCTATGTCGGCGTGAGCGTGCTGCCTCCCGCTGTCGCTGCCAGCGGCGCTCCTGCGAAGAAAATGGTGCTGGCATGCATGATGCTAGGCTGGTTTTGGCACGTGGTTTAAACATCCATCTACCACCAGCCCCCCCCCCCAGCAAAAAACAACTGCTGTTTCCCATGTCCAAAACCGAGGTACTGTCCAAAAAACAGTGGTTGGAGCAGGTGAAGGGTGGGGGGTGGGGGGAGCCAATCAGGTTCTTTTTTGTATCTTGAGGGCCCGACAGAAGGCTGTCCAGGACATGGGTCAAGGGGCTTGGTAAGGCTCTGGCAAAGGACGCAACTGGCAACTCTCTCATGAGCAATAAGCAGTCACTCTTCACCTTGAGAACATTGGGTATCTCCAAATTACGCTTAGCAAATTTCAATGTCAGTTGGGAAGAATCATAAGCAGCCGGGAAAGCCAGAGCAGATTGGGAAAACAGCATCAGTTGGGGCTACCAGGACGCTAAAAGTTTTCGTCGCGACGTTTGCGCAAGCGCGCAGGCCGATGAGCAGACCATCCACGCGGTAGCGCCGGCCCGGCATGCTTCAACTTGGGAGGAACGGATGTACTCAGAACATGGCAAGCAGCAAGGCCATAAGACAAGTTCTGCGTGTGGATTGGTTGTATCCCTGGTAGTTGGGTAAGACAAAACAACGTGTGTAAGTTAGTTTTATCCACCTTGGGGAACACGGCGCAGGATGAAAATTCGCAGCCATTCAGCAGGGTGTTGCGTTTGTATATTTGGCCAACAAGGCCTTTTCATGTGGCACTTTCGGCAAAACATATGAAGGGGATGTCTCTTGATAGGGACCCCCCCCGAAACAAGAATCGGTTTTCCTTTTGCTGGTTTTCGTTTAAAGCCACACACATAAGGGAACCCCCAAAAAAGACCCCCATTTGGCTCAGGGCCTCGGTTCGGCTTCCCCGGGTGACATTGACTCCTTGTCCAGTTCTATGATATCTCCTCAAGTGCGGTGGCGCATGCCTTTTGATGAGGGGATGGCTGGTTGGTTGCAATCCCACATGAATCCGCCATTTCGGGGTGGGATGATTTGGAAGAAAGCACAGCAAACATGGGCCGAATCGCATGTGTCTGTTTTCATGGGGTGAAACCCTGAAACTGGAGTAGGCACCTCCCTTCAGAAGAACCAATTGGCAGGGATACGTCGGAGGGATATGTTTTTTCCGGTCCCATTGACTCCTGCTTTGAGGATTCCTTCTCGCCCTTCCCCAAGGTGGACCAGTTTTTGCAACTAGTGTTCGGCCAACAGCAGGGTGCTTTTTGTCTCATGGGAATCCCCCAATAACTTTGGTGCATTTTACTTGGATGTTAGGACTTTACCTTTTTGCCAAGTAGTGGGTTTTCCATTAAACCACTAAAAATGATCACTTTTAGCAGGGGAGCATACAGCAACCGAGATAAGGTTTGGGACCTCCCCCCCTCCGGGCTTCCGGCGATCTTTGGAGCCAGGCAGCTGATCCCAGAGTTCTTCTTCATGCCGGAGCACGTCTTCCTGAGCCCGAGGCCCCAGGCGAAGCTTCGGCGTGGGAACCGGGTCGCTTGGGCGCACCAACGAGCTTTGCCAGCTGCAGCGGATGGGAATCCTGCGGCAGGTGCGTTGTGAGACGTGTTTGCAGACGTGTGTGTGTGTATATATATATATACATATATATATATATAGAGAGAACATGTGTATGCTATGTGAAGTGTTCTTTGTGCTGTGCACACTCAGCGGGCACAGCGTTTTTGTAGCCACAATTGAGGCACGTTTCTGCAAACCGGGGATCAACCCTCAAAGTTTGGACAACGTGTCTTTTCCTTTTTTCAGGGTACTCATGCTTCTCTTGCTTAACAGGCAAGCAAGACACACCCAAAGGCCCCCAAAAACGCCCCCCCAAAAAAGGCGTCCGAAGACACACCCAAAGGCTTAAGTAAAAGGGGGTCCCCAAACAAGAATATCACACCTAAAGGCCCCTCTACTTGCAGTCTGCTGGAGCTGGTTGGCAGGATGCTCACTCCCTCTGACATGGACCCCCCCCAAGAGGTGATGCCTTGTGTTGAGTTCCGTGCTTTTGATTTGAAAGGAGTAAACACACGTGGGTTTGGATGTTCATTTGTTTTCCCGTTTTTCCCCCCAGATAGCTGAACGCTATAGGGCTTCTAACTTCTAATAAAGAGGGGAAAGTGATTTGCGAGATTGATGGGCTGGTGCTAGGGGGCGTGCAGTTTGGGGTGCTGGTGTGGGTGCTGATTGGGGTGCTGTTTGAGGTGCGCATCTTTTCAAGACTGACGGTAGGGTGCTAGGGGTGCTTGTGCAGGTGCTGTTTTGGCACATTTTTTCATCTTGACGGTAGGACGCAGGGGGGAATGCAGTTTGGGGCGCCGGTGCTGGGACGCAGTTTGTGGGGAGCTGTTTGAGGTGCTAGTGACGGTGCGCGCGTGGGCGCATTTTGCGAAATTGACGCTCGGGTGCTATCGGGCCTGCAGGTGACGGAGCAGGCGCATGTTTGCATCTTGACGGTAGGGTGCAAGGGGGCATGCAGCTTAGGTGGTGGTTTGGGATTCTGTTTGGGGTGCTGGTTGATTTTCGCAAGATTGACGACTGGGTGTCTTGGGGGGTGCTGTTTGGAGGGTGATGATGCGGGCCTTTTTGCTCGATTGACGGCCGGGTTTTGCTTGGGGCGTTCTTCGGGGGGGTGCTTTTGGAGGTGCTGGTGTGCAAGCACTGCTATCCGGGGTCTATGCTTTTGTTTGATTTTTATTATAATTTTTTGTTTTCTAGTTACGTCAGTAACTCTCAGCTTACCCTCAATTCCTGTGCCCATTGCTTGAGAACTGGGGTTCAAACCTATCCAAGAAGCCAATCCAAACCACCAATACAAACCACCAATTTATCTTCTGTTAGAATTGACAAAAAAAAACCGTCCTTTCCATCAATCGAGCTTAGCAAGGGAATAACTCAAATATATGTACTGGGTCAGTGAGAATTTACGTGCAAA